GCAGTCAAATAATTGCCTGTGTGTGGACATTTTTGGACTTGGAGTTCCACTGTCCTTTGCTGCTGCCATACTTCCTGATTCCTAGAGGTATTTACAGTAAGCCGTGGATGTTCTCCAACTTCGTTCTTTCAAGTGTTTTAAATACTGTAAATCCTTTTTGCCTTTGCATGTAAAGTTTAGAATCAGGCTGTCAGTTTTTATAAAAAACCCTGATGGAATTTGAATTGATTATGTGTTTATAGGTTAATTTGGGGGAGAATTGAGGTCTAAACATTATTGAGTCTTTCAGTGCATGAACTAAATATAGTATAACTCTTCATTTATTAAAATCATCTAAGTTTATTCCTAGCATCATTATTTATTTACTTATTTTGATACTGGGGATCAAACTCACAACCTCACACTTGCCAGGCAGGCACTTGTGTCATTGAGCTATACCCCACACCCTGGCATCATTTTATAGTCTTAATTTCCAGGCCATATAGCATTATAGTATTAAGTTTTTTCCAAAGTATTTAATATTTTTCTTGCTCCTTTAAACGTGCTTCTGAAAAATTTATTGCTAGGATATAGAAATGAAGTGTTTTTTATTGACCTTTTGTGCTTTAAAAATTCATTTATTAATTCTAGTGGCGTTATTTTGGGGTGGGGGGTAACCGGGGATCAAACTCACAACCATGCGCTTGCAAGGCTGGCACTTAAGGCACTGAGCTAAATTCCTGGCCCCTTCTAGTGGTCTTTTGATAAGATTCTTTAGTGTTTTCTTGTGTAGATAGATGATCATGCTGGCTACAGGTAATGTCTTTCTTCCCTTTAAAGATGTATTTGTTTTGTTTTATTTATCCTGTTGTCTGGGGCTACCTCTAGGTGAGATTGACTGGAACATATTGTTGCTGACCCCTGAAGGCCCTGTTAGTCCACTGTGTACTGTGGTAGCTGTAGGGTTTTGTGGATTAAATTGAAGTTTACTTCTGTTCTAGTTTGCTAAGTTGTCATACTGAATACAAATTGAATTTTGTGAAATTCTCTTTGTATATTTCGAGATGATCACAGAAGTGTTCTTTTTTTCATTATAGTAAATTGTGATTTTTGAAATGTTGAACAGACCTTACATTCCTCAGATACCCCATAGTATGTCATTTATCTGATATATTATCCTTGCTTATAAATTACTGGATTAGATTTGCTGGTGTTGGTTAATGATTATTATGTCTATGACCATGAAGAGTATGAGTCTGTAAGTTTCTTGTTTTCTGTTGTCTTTTTTAGGTTTTGGTCTTTTGAGAAAGGTCTGTGTAGAGAAAACCCTTTAGTGGCCTTGAGTGCAGTAGTCTCCCTTCTGCTTGTCAACTTTCTTGGACTGCACACAGTAGGGACACCATACGATGCCTGCCTTCCTGAGTCTGGCTTATCTTGCTCAACACGATGCTCTCTAGATCCATGCATTTTCTAGCACGTGTCAGAATTTTCATTCCTTTTGATGGCTGAGTAATTCTCCATTGTGTATGTATACCACATTTTCTTTATCCATGCATCTCCTGACGGGCATCTGGGCTGTCTCTGCTACGGCTGTTGTTGATTGTGTCATGCTAAACACAGGTGTACAGGTCCCTACAGCATGCCAACTACATTTTGGGTGTGTGCCCCAGCCCCCCTCTTTTTCTTTTTTTGAGACAAGGTCTTACTATGGCTCAGGCTGACCTTGAATTCACTGTGTAGTCTAGTAGCCTAGGCTGGCTTCGAAATATGGCAGTCCTGCTTCAACCTTCCGAGTGCTGAGATTACAAGTATGTGCTACCATGCCTGGCCTACTCTTTATTTTTTAAAGTAATACATTGTTTTCCTTTTCTGGAAGTTCCATTTTCTTTCTTCTTTTTTCTACATCTCCATTTTCTCTCTTATTGTGCTTTTTTTTCTATTTTCTTGATCATATGGAGCTTTTTTTTTTTTTTTTTTGGAGCGTATTTTTAATTGCCAATTTTAGACTTTTGACCGTTGGTTATTTATTTATTTATTTTGTTTTTGTTACTGGGGATTGAATTCATGACCTTGCAATTGCCCGGCAAGCACTTATGCCACTGAGGTAAACCCTCAGTCCAACTCTTAACTGTTAGTTGTGTCCTCTCTGTACTTTGGGTTCTGCTTCTATTGGTTAACTTTTCTTCCATGTCTCAGGTCATAATGTACATTTTGAGATTTGTCATTGGATGATGGACATTGTGAATTTTATGTTAAATGCTGGACTTGTATTGTTTTAAATTTGTTGGACTAGGACAAAAGATGACTACAGTTTGATCTGTATAAGATGAGTGCCACTGTATAAGATACAATGCCACTGTTACTTTGTGCCTAATTCTAAGACTTGTCTCATCTCTTGTCACTGGGAAGTGTTACTTTCACAGTTCTTGGCTGCTCTGCTAAGTGCTGTGTGTGTGAGCTGTCATTGTAAATACTGGTGTATGTGGTGAGCAGATGAAAAGTTCCTGCCTGCATGGGACTCAGCTTTAAAGACATTTAAAAGCCAGATGAAGAAGAAGCAGGATTTCAGTTAGCACTTTGTGCTAGGAGAATGTGAGGTTGTCAGTGGCTTTGTCAGGTGGAGTTTGGCTGGCAGATGGATCATCACACTTGCAATTAAACTGGGACTTTTTTTTTTTTACGTCCAGGGGCTGAAACCTCGGGCCTCACACACATTCTAAGCAGACGTTCTTCTACTGAGCTATATTTTCTGCTGAGCTTTTTAAAGAAATAATTTAGTTGTATTTATCTCACTAAACTGCCCAGGCAGACCTCTTAACTTGGGATACTCCTGTCTCAGGCATTCTCAAGAGCTGGAATTATGGGTGCGTGCCACCATGTCCCAATCTGGCTTACTTTAACCTAAGGAAAAAGTAAGAGATCTGGGAAGGGAATACTAAAGAACACAATCCCAGCAGGTCTGTGGTATAGCTGTGAGCATGGAGCGGGTATGATGAGGACTCAGCAGGCAACAGAAGGGTTCGTGGGCTGCCACAGGCCAGGTCTAGTGTCAGCTACTTACCAGAGAGTCCATGCTGCCCAGTCCCCCTCTGGAAGGACAGAGACTTTTGGTGACTGAAGCTGAACAGACCCAATTTCTCAGTGTCCCTCTAGCGCCCTCTGTCTCCCACCAGCAGAGAAGAAATGTATTCCTTCATTGTAGAGTATGGATGAGGGTGAAGTCAAAAGGAAAAGAAAATCTGTAGCTAGCTGTGCCAGCCTCCCTCAGCAGCGGCGCTCTCTCTGTTCAGGCTTGGCTGCTGACACACCTCCCATCTGTCAGGAGCTATCCAGAGATGGGTGGCTGAGTGCTTTGGGAAAGGGGAGCAAATGGCAGTGACATAAACACAAAGCTTTGTCCCAGTCAGCTTTGTAGGCTCCAGTGAAAAATACAAGGTTCAGTTGGAAATTGTATGAGGAGGGCAGGTTTCATGCACAGGATCCCAGTGAGATCATGCTGACTGGCTGGCTGCTTGAGAGTGAGTCGCAAGTGGGTGACGTTGGAATAGGGACCCACAGGAGGCTAAGGGGTGGCCAGGAGAGAGGTGCCTGTGGCCTGCGTGAGGCAGGCTGTGGGGTGTGGGCTGAGGAGCTGACCCCCTCAGCCTTACAGTTACTTGTGGTGTTGGAATTGTCTTGTTTTCAGGTGCTAAAGTCTGGTCTGCATAAAACCTCTACTGTCTCTGCTATTGAAAGCTCCTTCTTGAAGCACAGGAAGCATTGACTTAAATTGCCAGGATGCAGGGTGGCGATGTGTGTCCTGCAACTTCCAGGCCTCTGGAAAGGAGGACTTGCTGCCCTGTCTGTGGTTCTGTCAGGCTGACCAGGACCCATGGCATTTGCTTGTCATTGGCCTTGCCTGCAAAGGCTGTGTGTGGGCTGCTGTGACAGAGTCCCAGAAGCCGGGCAGGTTACAGCAACAGATGGAGGCCAGGAATCCAGGCTGCTGCTGTCCTAGTGTGTAGCTTACACTTCCTGGCCTCCCATATGCTGTCACCTGGTGGCTCTCAGCCCCACCCCCTCCAGCAGGCTCTAGAGCTTAGTGTTAGTGTCTGTGTGCTCAGCTGTGAGAGGTCCTGGGTTGGTTTCTGCTCCGCCCCCTGCAGTAGATGGAGCCATGCTGTAGGTAGCATGTGCATAGCGTGGCCAGGCTCAGTCGGGAACAGGAGAGGCTGTGCAATCCTGTGGACACAAGCACAGTCCCTTCTGGGGGCCTGTCCATGGCTGTGCTTTACCTCTTCACACTGTCAGCTGTCAAGAGTGGGGTTGGACTGGCTGCCCCTGTGGAAAGGAACATTCTGCAGCACCCCGCTCCAACTAGCCTGTCTTCTCAGGCCCTGTCACTTGGGGACCAGGGGCTGGCTGGCTGGGTGACTGAGAGGAAGCAGGTGGGTGGCCCAGGATGTGTTTGTTCTCTGCAGCAGTGCTTAGCAGAACCTTTCTATGCTAGGGTGTAGGCAGCACCGCTGGCTAACCTCACTTGTTCCACACACCCTTGCCCAGGCATTTTTCTCACATGGCTTTCTTCAGTCAGAGTGAGTAGCATGGGTTGTGGGTCCTGCAGGGCAAAAAGACGCTGCCCTCAGCTGCTGGGACTTGGGTTCAGAATGGCTGCAGGATTATCACTCTGCCACCTGTACATTTGTGTGCTTCACCTTTTGGAAGTGGCTACTGGGATGGCTGTCATGTGTGCCAAGTAAAGAACAAAAGAAACATATTCAATGTCACCATGTGATTATGTTGTAAACCATCAGAAGGTTTTTAAAAAAAAAAATACCGGTTCTAAATAAAATTCCTTTCTTGGGAGAGTACTGGGCCATATAGAATTCTTTAGAAAAAAGTTTCCTATGTGATGCCAGTTATTTTATTTTCAGTGTCTAAGTTTTAACTTTTTTCTAAAAGGCATTTTCTGAACAGTTAATTCAAAACTGATGCCATGAATATTTGGGCTTAACTGGTCTATTACATTCTGTTTTTAAAAGCAGGGCCAAGATTTTCTTCTTCACACGCCGCTTGGGAGTGCACAGCCAGATGCCAGCAGGTTGGCTCTGGGTGCACAGATGCTGCCCTCCACAGGGCTGAGCCCTGCACCCTCGGAGGCCCCCTGCTCATGCGAGGCCTGCAGTGAACGCAGGTATGTGCCATGTGGACCGGGCCAAGCATGCTTGGCCATGGGCATGTCTGGGAACATGGGCTAGAAGAGGAAAACAGGCTCCTCATGAACAACAACAAACTTTTGAGCCTGAGAGGGAGACAGTGGCCTGGCCATGACCAAGAAGACCATAAAAAGACTAACACATGGGACTGGGGATTTAGCTTAGCGGCATAAGCGCCTGCCTTGCAAGCAGGAGTCGTGAGTTTGATCCCCGGTACCAATAAAAAGGGAAAAGACAAAAAAAAAAAAGGCTTAACACTAGGACGTCTGCCCTTAAGGGACTAACACTGGGGCAGTCTGCATAGTAATGAGACTCTGAGGGAGCATCTGTGACAGAGAGGGTGGTGAGGAGGCTGGCAGCAAGCTGCAGAGGAGCAGGGTCGGGGGAGCTATGTGCCCCACCTTCCAATGGACACCAGAACGGGTGAAGGCATAGACCTTGCACAGGTGGGGTGGGGTGGAGGTCAGCTGGTCAGCCAAGTGTAACTTGCCTTTGCTGTGTCTCAGAGAAATTTCAGCAGAGACAGACCGGGAACCTCAACAGCTACAGAACTACTGGTCTGAAGTACGCTACATGGTGCGCTGCATATACCGCCAGGCGGGAACCCCCCTGGCAGATGACCAAGACCAGTCCTTGGTACCTGACAAGGAGGGAGTGAAGGAGCTCGTGGATAGGTACATACTCCCCTCTGTCTCCTGGCCCTGTCTGAATCCTGACCTTTGCTGCTATTCCTGGAACCTCTGTTCAGGGTGGGCTTTGGCTGCAGCCTAGAGTGACGCTGAGCTGGGCAGACTCAGGCCTGGGCAGGTCAGAATTAGTGCATAGCTTGCCAGAGAGAGGGAGCCCTCTAGTCAGAGTTGTGGGTTCTTCTGATTTAATGAGACATAAGATGACTGTCATGTTTTTGTGCTAAAATTGATGGTAATATCTGCCTGCCTGCCTGCCTGCCTGAGTCTTTGCCATGCCAGAGGCAGTGCTAAGTACCTTCATAGACAGCTTTGGGTTTTTCAGCTCTAGGAAGAAGGCTGAGTGCTGCCCTCTCCTGAGCACTGCCAGGCCAGCCCCCTGGTCAGGGCCTCTCAGTGTATGCACATGGGGCTGCCTCTCATGCAGGAATGCCTCTCGACCACTCTTGTCTATTCTTCAGCAGGTACCTTGTGTCCAGGAGCTTAGAGAAGATGAGGTGTACATCACCTCTGTTCTTAAGAGTTTGAATGTACCATTGTTTTCTGATTTTTAAAATGTTCCAAATAAAAGCACCAAATTTGACCTGGGTGAACATTTCATGGGTCGATTCTCATTTTGATTTCTTTCTGTGTTATGTTTTGAATGCACTTTGGAGGCTTTTGAACTCAGATTTTCCATGCAGTGAATTTTATCCGGAAGCAGGGAGGTATTAGGTGGTTGATTATGTTACCTTGAGATCAGTGTGTTACCCATAAGTCACAGGTATTGTGTGAGACAGTTCTGGGTGGCATGTGCCTTTTTTTAGAAGGTAGATTTTGTAGTGATTGCTGGGAAAAACTGTATAACCCTCACATCAAACTCATGATTTAGCAGAATATTAATGCTGCACCTTGGGTCTCTTACAGTAGCGTCTTGCACATGGTTAGTGCCCAGTGTTTGCTTTGTGTTCGCTGAATAAGCAAGTGATTGAATTGCTGAAGTGTCTTCTGCATATTCCTTCCTCTTATGTAGATTCTAAGACACTGCTCCCAAAGTACCACGTGGTTATTTCCTTAAATTTGTAAAATACTGAAATGGACGAAGAAACAAAATGTCTCTGATCTTAGCCTTGCTAAGAGATCCAAGGAGATGTCCAGTCTGCTTGTGAGTTTGATTATTTCTAAGTTGTTTGAATCCTCTGTGTCTTTCCTTTAAAACAGATGGCATATATTCTGTTTTAGGGGATACTTTCTTAATACTAGTAATTTAAAAACAATGGTCATGCTATAGTAATTAATATACCTGTTTGAACTATAACAGCCATAAGTCATTCTAGCTTAGTCTTTTAAAGAGTAACAGGAATTACTGGCGTGTTCTACCATGCCCACCAATTATTTTCCTAACCACATTTTATGTAGTACTTCCCATATTCCATTGTAAGATTTTACTTAACTCTTGTTTTTTTTTTTTTTTTTTGACAACCTTGGTAGCATGCTAATTTTAAAGTGGAATGAGTGACCACGTAAGTTCTTTTGTAACTGGATGTACCCTAAAGGGGAAAGGCTCTGTTCTGTAAAATCCAAGAGTTGTAATGTTAGGTATACTTTACAGCTCACTTCTAACAGGCAAAGTGCGCTGGTTCCTATAGACATCTTGTTGTTGTATCCATAGTTTGGGGCTTCCATGTAGAGGCATTTCAGAAGTACACAGTGAAAAGAAGTGGTCGTGTAGACCACAATAATGGCTAAAGGTTGTAGGACTAGTTGTGTTGCATTGTGTTGTGTAGTGTTATGAAGGGTCTTACTGTGTAGACTAAGCTGGCTTTGAACTCAAGACAATCCTCCTGCTTTAGCCTCCCAGGTGCTGGGATTACAAGAGTGTGCTGCTACCACCTATCAGGCCTATTCTTAAAAAGTGAATCACCCCTACATTTGCAAAGAGATTCATGACAGTGTTCATTGCCATCGTAGTTGGTGATAGGCATTTGTTTTTTTCCCATAAGCTAATTGTTTTATACATTTTTGTTCTTTATTGGAATAATTTCAGAGTAATTTGTAAGTTGCATCTGAAGTTCCCTCTGATCAGAAACAGTACACAAGCCTGTTGTATCCTGTATTAAGTTCTTAGAAAGAAGGGACATGCTGTTGGTCCCAGCTGTACAGCAGGTTCACTCTGTACTGGCCAGTGCCCAGGTTCCCCACCTATTAGCATGTAATAATTCTTCAGAAAGGATTGGCTTCTCCAGGCATGGTGGTAGAGCCTGTTATCCCAGCACTTTGGGAAGCTGAGGTGAGTGGACTACAAGTTAGGAGTCTTTGCTGAGGGTGCGGCTGAGGCCAGCTCTGAGGTGTGGTAGGACTGTCTGCTGCTTGCTGGTGGTGTGAGCCCAGACCCCTGCCCCAGCCTGGGCGGGCTTGGGTGTTGCGTCTGGGCAGTGGCCCTGTGTGGGCTGGCTGAATGAGTACACATGTATAAGCAGGGCTGTGTGGAGGATGTGGTCAGGGTATGCAGTCTTCCTGGCTGTCCTGGCCCTGCTGTCTGTGCCTGGCTTCCTCATCTCCCGAGGGGGTAAGGTGCCTCTCCTAGGTCAGTGTGAGGGAAATGACTGCTGTGGATGTCTGTAGAAGGCTTGAGAAGAGATAGTTCCTGATATCCGAATTGGCTGGCTGTGGGCCCCTAGGAAACAGTCACAGCTGAGTGCTGACTGTCTCTCTGCAGGCTCTGTGAGCGGGACCCCTACCAGCTGTACCAGCGGTTGGAGCAGCAGGCCCGGGAATATGTGCTAGAGATGAAGGTCCGTCTGCTCCGACAGCTGTCATCAGCAGCGAAGGCCAAGGCACCGTCTAGCCTGCAGGGCCCGCCACAGGCTCATCACTTCATCTCCCTCCTACTCGAAGAGTATGGCGCCCTCTGCCAGGCGGCACGCTCCATCAGCACGTTTCTCGGCACTCTGGTAAGAGACAGCACCCTCTTTGCTGCCTGGCTGTGGAGAAGGTGAGCTAAAGAGCAGCAGTGTGTAGGTGGGTGGAGGAAGTGTCATGCCCACTGTGCACTGTTACAGGCCCTCTGCAGGGTTGGCTGAGGGTAGTTCTCAGGGCTTTGCTGCTAGAAAAAAGCACTGATGGACTGGTGTCTGGGTGACATGGCCTGTTAGTGCTGCTATGAGGATCATGAGGCCCTAGGAAGTAAGACGTGAGGCTAGGCCACAGTCTTGAGGAGATGACTTGGCTTCTGGGGTGGTCATTACTGTGGACCCAGGTGAAGGGGAAGCCTTTGTGCAGCCCTGAGGCCTCTTGTGTTCACACATGTTCACCACCAGCCCATCAGGGGCAGGGACAGGCTTTCTACGGGACCCCACAGTCTCAGCAGAGAACACAGGTGAGTCTCTGAAATACAAATAGGAGGCACAGAGTGGATATACAGTCGTGTTGGAAGGAGACCAGTCTCCCCGGGGACAAGCAGTGAAACTTCGTGATTGTTGCAGACACAAGATACCTACTTGACTGGAGTCTGCGGTTTCACCATCACTTTGACTGGATAAGTGATACTTTAGTGTACTCTAGTTTTAAATGCTTTTTTAGTAGTCAAACTTTTAGTACTAGGGATTAAATTCATGCTAGGATAGCACTCTTATCACAAAGCTACCTGCCTAACCCAAGTTCTTCCTGTGAGACAGTTTTACCGTGTTTTCCAGGCTGAACTTGAACTTCTGATCTCTTGCCTCAGCATCCTAGAAGTCGGATTTCAGATATGTGCCACCACCCCCATCAGTTCCTAACTCTTTTACAGTTTTGAGGTGGTCTCACTAAGTTTCCCAGACTGGCTGTAAACTTGTGATCCTACTGCCTCAGTCTCCCATGTACAGCTTGCTTACAGGGGTGTGCCACTGTGCCTGCTTTATAAACTACCATTGTAAAACAAAGTAACCATTGATTTCCAAGATTTGAAGGGTAGTGATATTTATATGATTCTAAAGTTGGTGAGCTTCTCTAGAAAAATTGCCTTACCATGTGGCAGGCATTATAGGAGTCCTAGCACCCCACACACTCCTGCATCAGTGGCTGCTGGGCCTGTGAGTTCCCCTTGCAGAAGGAGTGGGGAAATGTTGGCAGTGAGCAAACTGGCTAGGTGAGGGCAGGCAGCACTCCAGAGGGCAACCTCCTGTATCTCCGGCCCTGCTCACAGCTTGGCCACTCCCCTGCACCTCAGATCTGCTTGCTCGTGGAGCCTCCTCTGCAGAGCATCTCTTACCTTCCTGTTTGCTTGGGAGGGTCACGGCCAGAGTTAGCAGGCTGTTCCTCCCATCCCAGCCTGGTGCTCAGAGACTGTGGAGAGGCCCCACTAGAAAGTACCATTGACCTCCAGGGCCTCCTTAGATAGCTTATGAAGTTGGCAGGAATTGATTTGAACCGTGTTTATTTTAGCAGATTCCTAGCAATTTAAGTAAAAATGTTTTCTTACAAATGGAATAAAACTGTTGTGCGTTTTTTTGTGTGTGTGTATGTTTTGTTTTGTTTTGTTTTGGTACTGAGGATCCAACTCACGACCTAGCACTGGCCAGACAGGTGCTTACGCTGCTGAGCCAAAGCCTCAGTCTCTAAGTGTTGTGCTTCTAAGCACAAAACATGACTATTGCTAGTAATTTATTTTACTTTCTTTCCAGGTAAGATACTTTATAGTAGTAAGGTAAATGATATACCCTCAGTAATTAAACTTATGACTGAAATGGTATCAAAGAGAAGTCTTAGTGTTAAAAAACCAGTTGAAGAACTAGTTGTGGTGACACAAACCTGTAATCCTAGCACTCAGGAGGCTGGGGCAGGAGGATCCCAGTGAGTTTGAGGCCAGCCTGGACTACGCAGCAGGCAGGATCCTGTCTCAAAAAAAAAAAACCAAACTAAGTGAATACCAATTGAGAGCTGCAATTCTAAGAAATTTATGTGTTCAGAAGTCAACATTTGCTCCAAGGATTTCTTCCAGTCCTGGGAAACAGGAGATATACCTTAAGTCCAGCCCAGGATGAGGTTGGCTTGTAATGCCACCCCATAAATGATAACAGCTACAGTATAAAGGGGGAGGAGAAATGGGCACAGAAAGGGACAGCAAAGGCATACACCATTGTGGCCTGACAATGGGTGCAGCTAGAAAGACTGCTTGCCAAAGATCTGTAACTAAGCCATCACCAAGTAATTTTGCTTGATGCTGGTCACTTTCTGAACACAAGAGTTTGCGTTAAGTAAAACCCCTCAAGATGAACAGCTTAGAGAAGTTAGGGGGGAAAAAATCAAACCTGAGGTTCAAGAAAGTGTAAATGAGAGCCAGCAGAAGCAGCGGACAGAATTATATATTGATGATATTTAAATTTTTCAAAGAATGTAAAATAACTGTACTGTTATTCAGGAGTAAAAGACGTTTTTAAAATGATTTTAAGGATTTATAGAAGAGTGATCTAAAGAAGGATGATCCAGATTTAAGAAAAGCAAAATTAGCCAGGTATGCTAGTATGCATCTATACTCCTAGCTATTCAGGAGGCTGAGGCAAGAAGATCCCGAGTTACCACCTACCTGGGGCAATTTAGCAACTTAGTGAGACCGTGTCTCAGAGTAAGACAGGGGTGTGGTTGTTGCTCACTGTCAAAGTCCTGAGTCTCTGATGAGCCCCATTCCATGAAAATCTAGAAGTAAAAATGGGTAACTTGTTTTAAAGAAATTCTAATGGGGATTGGCTACAAGTAAAAATGTGTAACTTGTTTTAAAGAAATTCTAATGGGGATTGGGATATAGCTCAGTGGCACAAATGCCTGCCTGGCAAGCGCAAGGTCCTGAGTTCGATTTCTTGTACAACACCCCAACGAAAAAATCCTGGATAGATTAACAGAGTAAGAAGCTGAGAAGAGAATTGGTGGAGCTCTGTAGGATGTAGCCCTGTTAAGAAGTGGCCATACAAGAGAAACTTGGAGACAGTGAGGAGTCTCGTGCTCTACAGGGAGATACCAGGACGAAAATTGATTCAGGCCAGACGTGGTGGCCGCAAATCCCTCCAGGAGTCCGTTGCAGAGGAACCTGGAGTGCTGGTACTCCCAGATCCTGCCTGGACTCCTGAGAAACTGTCCACGACCTTGTGCACATTTGTTAGGGACATTTACCAAAGTCACACTAGTGGAGAATTTGTTTGCCTCTGTCAGATGGAAGACGGCTCAAGATAGTTGAGAACAGGGTTATCTGTTCCTAGCAGAAGATCTGTGTGCATCAAAGCTGTTTGTCATTACATCTTGAAAGCTTAATTGTAAGAAATAACAATCAAATATATTGTTTCTTTCTCTGCCCCCTCACCTGTGGCACCTGCCCCTTGCCTGTAAGGGTTTATATAAGTGCCAAATGAAGTAGAGACCCGGGCCACCCCAAGTCAGTGGTTGGATTCAGCGAGTGCTATGGGACTTGGAGTAATGACCTCTCAAAACAGAATGTTCTAGACCTGTGTAGAGGGCTGTGGATGTGGGCAGGAATCCTCCTGGGAAATAGCCTGAGACCATGAATTCACTACATTTTATTTTTTTTAAACTAGGAAAATGAGCACTTGAAAAAGTTCCAGGTGACATGGGAACTACATAATAAGCACCTGTTTGAAAATCTGGTCTTTTCGGAGCCCCTTCTCCAGAGCAACTTGCCAACACTGGTGTCACAGATCAGGTATTTGGTCACAGCCCATGTGCATTCTGTATCGTGACAACCTATCTTTGTGGGCTAGGGTATGTGCAGCTGAAGACCACTGAGTGTTGCAGTTCTTGCAGGAAAAATAAGGGACCTAGGGCAAAAATAGTGGGAAGAAAATTCAACATCTGAGTAATCACGTAGGGAAACTTTAAAATACTAATGTAGTATAAATGCTGCCAGAACTGAATGTTACAAATTCCTCCATAAATAAGGGAAGGCATGATAAATGTAGCACTGTAGCTCAAAGGAAGGGATTTGTGCTTGGGTAGAGAGGCATAACCTGGGGCTGCTGTGCCTCTCAGATGTCTCCTCTACACTCCTGCTATTAAACCTTCTCATTTGTCTTCCCTGGTGTGCTATCTACCTGGCTTCATGTTGGGAGGCTGGGTTCTGTTCTTTCACCAAGATGGGTATGCATATGCAGGACTCACTCGTGGTGATTGCCTAGATGGCCTGAGGTAGACCTGTGCTCTGTGGGGGCCAGCCCTCCTCCTGATGTCGTGCAGCAAAGGGAGTCCTCCATGAGCTCACAGATACATCCATTCTTGTATAGAAAAACACAGTTTGATGGTGGCCATCGCTGCTTGGCCGTATGAAATATAGGTAACCACAGAGTGGCAATTAAGTAGTAAGTTATTGCTACCTAGTAGTGATCATTATCTCCTTGACTTACCCACCAGTTGTGTTTTTTTCCCTCCTGAAATCCATGTATTAACCCAGTCATTGTTTTGTACAGTCCCAGATTCTTCTATTTGAGGGGATCCTCATTGTGTGTGTCCCCCTCCCCCCTTCATACTCATCTCTAGAGAAGGAGCAGCCTCAGAAGCAGGCAGGTGAGAGAGATTGGCAGCAGAGGTTAGGGCAAGGGCTTGGGCAGGAGCTGTAGGTTTGCACCTTTCCTTCCAGCCTTTGCCGGCCCCTCTCCTTCCGTGCTGTATCCACCCAGGGCACATGCAGCATGAGTGACTCTGGCAGAGTAAAAGGGCTCCCAAGAGGATTGGAAGTCATAGGTTGAAATAAAGAACTGGGCATTCTCCTGGTTAGGAGGCCCTGCGGGGGCCTGATAAGCCTTTTACCCACCCTGGGAGGATGGTGGAAGTCTGAAGACAGGGTGAAGCTCCATGTTTTTGTTTTTCAGTGTCAGTAATGCTTAGACTTCAAAGAGGGGTATCTTTGAGTCTTGACTGTCCTTCTAGGGTTCATGCTGCAGCGTTGCTTTCCAGCCTAGAGACAGATGAACAGCAGGGACAGATGCTGAGAAAGCCTGGCCTCCTAGGAGTGCTAGTGACACCGGAAGCAACACATACTATTTTTGCTACAGATTATATAAAAACAATTCCTCTAAAGTATCAAAATACAAAGTTGGGTTTTTGTTTGTTTGTTTGGTACTAGGAATTGAACTCACAACCTCACACATGCCAGGAAGGTGCTTATGCCACCGAGTGAAATCCCTGGCCCCTACAGTTGTATTTTAATATTAATGCTTTGTCTCTGAGCCGGTGCAGCAATGTTTTTGTTTTGTTTTGTTTTTAAACATTTTAAAAATTATGTAGTAAGGTACAGATGTGGAGAATGTGCAAAATACATATGGCTCAGTAAGTCATGTGACAGCCAGCATCCCTTGAAACCTCCAGCAGCTTGACCACTGTGAAGTTGGCCTCTGCTCAGAGTTGGCCCTGAGCTCACTGTCCTCTTGTGCCTAGCTGGGCATTCCCATTCTGTCTGGCTTGTGTTTGACTTGATGTATCTTAAGTTACCTATCCAGAGATCATCCATTCAAAGGACCTATTTTGTTTATTGCTTTTTTCAGAGCTAGAAATAGAACCCAGGGCCTTCATACTGAGCTATATCCCTAGCCTTTTTTTTTTTTTTTTTTTTTTTTTGGTATCAGGAATTGAACTCAGGACCTTGAGCTTGCCAGGTAGGCACTGTGCCGCTGAGCTCCATCCCTGGCCTTTAATTTTTTCTTTTTATATAAAGTTTTGCTAAGTTGCCTAGACTACCCTTCTGCCCCAACTTCCCAGAATGCTGAGATATAGGCTTATGCCAACATGTCCAGCTCATCCCCAGACCTTTTAAAAGTTTTATTTTAAGACAAAGTCTTGCAAAGTTGCTCAGACTGTCCTCATGTTTGTGGTCTTTCTGCTTCAGCCTCCCAAGTACCTAGATTTGCAGTAGTGTGCTCCTGTGCTCAGCTTAAGTTGGCGTTTAACTGTATTAAGTGTATAATCCAGTGGCATTGATTATATACAATCATCACCGCAATTTCTGTAGCCATCAAACAGTAGCTCCTGCTTGCTCCTCCTTTTCCTCATGTCTTTTGAGAGATTTTCATCTGCAGTACCCCTACCACCCACCCATCCTCGGCTACCTGCACCCCTTTTGATAATTTTGTTATGAGCCTGGGCTGCTTGTCCAACAGAGGTGCTGTAGTCTGGCTCCTCCCTGAGTATGCACGTGCAGGACACACAGTGCAGCACCTTGGAATCTCCAGGCTGCAGTCTGTTCCGCCCTCCATGGCTCAGTGTGATCCGTGTTCTATAACTCCGAATTCTGGGTGTTGTGCTGGATTCTGATGGGGTAACCTGTGGGACTTGAATTACTCAGGAGTGGAGTTTACACGGGGAGCGGGAATCACTTACAGGAAGAGAAAGGCAGTGGCATCAGGCGTCAGGAGAAAACCTGATGTCATGGCTGCAGTGTGGCAGAAGGTACAGAACCAGACATGAGGTATCACTGGAGCCATGCCTTAAGGAGCTCTCTTTCCTGAGAAGCAGAGAGAGTTTAGGAGGTGTGGTAGTTTCCTATCACTGAAATCACTGACAGAATACTGAGAAAATCAACTTACAACAAGGAGAGACTTATTCTGGCTCATGGTTTCAGAAATCTTGTCCATGATTCTTGGCTTGGGGCTTGTGATGGGGCCATCCGTCTTGTGGAAGTATGTGGCAAAGGAAAGCTGCTCACCTCATGGCGCTGGGAAGCAAATCATGGAGTGGTCCAGAGCCGAGGCCTGTCCTTTAAAGACAAGCCCCAGTGACCTGTTTCTTCTCCCTCAGCCATACCTCCTAATGCTTGCCCTATCTCCAGTGCCCCATTAAGTCGTGACCCCACCGTGGATAATTGGTTGATGTGATCCGAGCCCACATGATCCAGGCACTTCCCAAAGCCCCAGTCTGGGTGCTGCTGCACTGGGGAGCAAGCCTCCAAGACAAGAGCCTGTGGGGATGTTTCACTTCCAAAGCAGAATAGGGAGGACAGCTGGCATGTTGGGAATGGCCTCAGTCAGTGCTTACATTAGCATTGTCTTGTCCATTTTATTTCAAATAGAACATCACATGAAAAGAAGTAGGCACTAAACAGTTTGGTGATTTATATACATTTTTTCCCCATATGTCCCACACACAGTTTTAAGCAGGGTAGAGTTGTATCTTAACATGGGCACGATTCCATTTCGGAAGCCTACACAGATGTGTGGATGGGTGTGCATGGAAGAACAGATGCAGTTGTGATGTTGGTAGGAAATGCTCTGCTGTCTGGTCCCTCCCTCTAGATGGCCCCTGATGTTTTTACTGATCTGCTGTGGGTTTTTAATATAAACTATGCTACTTTCTAGCCCTCCATAAAATCATGATATAAATGTCTTTGATTCTGAATAAATCTTTTTAAGATGTCTTCATTTTGGTTGAGATATTGATACACATACTGAGAAAATGAAATTTTAAAAATTTTTTGGTCTTTTTTGAGACAAGATTTCACCATGTAGTTCAGGCTGACTTTGAGCTCACTTTGTAGCCCAGGCTGACCTTTAACGCGTGGTAATCTTACTGCCTCAGCCTCCTGAGTGCTGGGATTATAACACTCAGTGCTACTATGCCCAGTGAGGAAATAAATTTTTTAATATAACCTGTGTCTCCTCACACCTTCTCTTAAGCTCCCATGTTCCCTTGTCACCCTCCCACCACTACCACCTCTCTTCCAAGTTATCTTTTTTTACTGTTTTTTCTCTTTTAGAAATTTGCAATTTTTTCTCATGTCTGCCTGAGTGTGTCTTCTGTTTTCTATTTGTTTTCTCATTACCCATTTTACTATCTTAATACAGCATAACTGTATCTGTACAAGCTGAATCAACGTTTTCTGTTTTACTTTATTTGAAAACCACATCTGAGCTGGGCATGGTAGCTCACGCCTGTAATCCCAGCACTCAGGAGGCTGAGGTGGGAGAATCGTTGTGAGTTCGAGACCAGCCTGGGCTACAAAATGAGCTCAAGGCCAGCCTGAACTGTATAGCAAGACTCCATCTCAAAAAAGGAAAAGAAAACCACATCTGAATTTTTGTGTCTCAGTACACATCTTCTCTGGATTGATATGTGTTACTAGGGAAGGGTAGCATGTACCTCTGTGTAGCATTCTGCATCAGAAGGCCTTGGTCTTAAACAGCAGTTTTGTTTCCTGCTGATTGGTTTTTCTGGCAGCTTCATGTATCTGAGCATCACCTTTATTTTTGCAAGTTTTTGTGGGGGGTGGTTGCACACATAAGCCTCACTCCTTTGCAGCAGCCCTGCTGTGGGGTGGAGCAGCACCCTTACGTTGTGGAGCAGGTGCACAGACACAGCTACACAACAGCAGCAGGAAGAAACACCTGCCTTCTAGCTAGGAGTCTGCAACTCAGGGCCTTCTCTCTCCTAGGCTGGGAACCACTACACACGACACTTGCAATGAGGACACGTACAGCACCTTGCTACAGAGGTACCAGCGCTCTGAGGAGGAGCTGCGCAAGGTTGCAGAGGAATGGCTGGAGTGCCAGAAGCGGATTGATGCCTATGTGGATGAGCAGGTAGGTGCTTTGTGTGTGCTAAGGCCCTGGAAACCAGTGACAGCACAGTCAACCCTTCTAGCCAGACCTTGCTGTTGTGTAGTGACTGCAGTTGGCAGATCACCCTTGCCAGATCATACATACTGTCACAGTCTCTGTCCCCATTTAGGGACACTAGGAAACTGCCAGGCCATGTGACTCCAGGAGCCCTTAATGAACACTGCTGCTCAGAGCACATTCTGCAGCTGTCCTGAGGAGTCCCTGAGGGAGCACCGATGTACATATGGCTCCTGAGCAAAGGAAATGAGCAGGCCTCCCCATACCTGGCCTGCAGAGACAATTCACTGGTGGCCAGAGCCTCTCTGAGAAGGGGCTTCTCTTCCTGCCCTGCTTCCTCTTCTAAGAGCCTGGCAGGTGAGCAAGGCAGGCCTGTGAGTGGTGGGAAAGGAGGAACACAGGGCTCTGTGTCATGCGTTTGAGACTTGTTGAATGTTGAAGCAAAGCTGTGCTTGCCTGTGCGTTGCAGGATCATGGGATCGTGGGTGCCCCTTGGCACCGGCATCTCTGTGGAAACACTGAGCTGCAGGAGGAGGCAAGTGTGGCCTGATCACTGATTTGAGAGCTTCAGACTGTACTTATATTTATAGGACAGTTGTCTCACTGCCGTGTCAGGACTGTGGCTACCCACACTTCGGTGCGGAACGTGGCAGACTCTCTGTTGTGCTGCTTTTATAATCTTCTTGGCTTGAGAGTTCCACCTGTTCCATTAGGGAATCAGTGCTGCCAGGCTTGTTGTAGGACAGGTGGCTCCTGAGCCTGGTATTTCTTCAGTGTTCATCTCTTAGGCAGCGGCTTCTCTTCCTGCGGCCCTTGGCTGCGGGTGGGTTTTGAAAGAGCATGTGTCAGTTGTATTTGATTCAGAGTGAGTATGTCCCTAAATGGTCTTTTATCTGGTTGTACAACTAGAGACTTATTCTCCAGCTTGCTAGTGTAGCGGTTTTGTTGGCTCAGGCTGCTATGGAAGCAGATGTTCCCAAGCTGCTCCACCAAATGCGATTTGCACACACTGGATCAGGTCTGGCTGCAGACTCTGTCCATGGCTTGCCTGCGTGATGATGTGAGCCTTAGCCACAGACCCTAAATGTGCGGATTGCTAGTAGCCCAGGCACGTGAGGCAGCAACAGAGAGGGAGTGAGAGCTGCTCTCCCTTCTGCCACCTTTCTCACAGCGAGTGCATAGCCATGGCAATGTGGAGCGGCCTGCTTGGGTTTGTTCATAGTGGACCCTGGCAGCTGACCCTAGACTGCAGTTCTGCAGCTTCCCTGCAACCCCTGCTCAAGCTTCTCCCCTCCCTGGGGCTCATGAGTCACATTAGATGTTTAATTTTGTGTGAGTCTTTGTGTTTTACAATTCCATGTGCCGGTTTTTTGGGTATTATTTTGAAGAAAAACAGAGCTACTGTAAATGATTCTTGTGCAGTGGATTGCAGCACAGCAAGTTGAAGCTGGCTGTGGGTCACCTGTAGAGATAATTCCACCACAGCTGAGCCAAGTGGCTTACTAAGTTACCAGGGTCAGGAACAGACAGTGAAAGATTCTGTCTTACACAGCATTGGGCAGTGGGGTACCCTGTGAAGGACTGAAATACAAGAGACTAGGTGTATCAATCAGCATTCTGTTGCTGTGGTACAATACCTTAGGTGATCATAAAAGAACAAAGGTTTATTTTGGCTCTCATTTCAGAGCTTTTGGTCCACATTCACTTGGCTCTGTTGCTTTGAACCTATGGTGACACAGCACAACGTGAGCTGAATGCAGAGCACAGGAGGTCTGTTCAATTCACAGGAGCTGGGAATCAGGGAGCAAGGAAAGGGCCAGGTCCCAGTATCCCCTTTGAGGAAATCTTCTACCTCAAAATGACCTAGCTTCCTCCACAAGGCCTTACTACCTCCCAATAGCACCATGGGCTGGTGACAGCCTCTCTACCTGGCTTTTGCAGGGCTTTGATCAAACCACAGCACTGAGCTGAGCCTGTGCCTGGCTCAAGCTTGTCACAAGGCCTTAAGTGAATGTGGAAGGAAGCTGAGGAGACAGAGGGGCTGTAGGGAACATGGTAGTGTTACTGTGTTTGTGGTTGATAGGAGACTCCGCCAGGGGCTCAGCAGGCAGGGTTAGAGTTACAGTCGGGCAAAGCTGTGGGGTTTTACCTTTGTGTATAAATGGGATGGCTGTAGTAGATAGAATTCTAGTTTTAGAAATTCTTTCTGACTTACTAAACAAGAATATGCCCAGGTCAACCCTTAGAAAGAGGGGAATTTTCTCCTAGATAAGACTGAAGACTCCTTTGGGAGTAATTACCTCTTGTTAGCTGTGTTTAAATTCATTTAGAAACTTAGTACACTACTTGTTACCACTACTATGCTGCTGAAAATGGGGCCATGTGAAAACAGTAAATTGCAAAGAACATAGTTTCTCTTGGGGAAAAAAGTAATCTTTAAAACAAAATGAATTTTTTTTAGACTTCATTAAACTTCTATGATATATCTTTTAAAAAACTAATAGAACCAACCATTCTCTCCACTAGAAGATGCATTCGTTTTACTCTCCACCCAGGAGAGATCAAGATACCATCTTACAAATTAAGGAAATTGGTCCACTTTAGTAGCATCCAAAGAATAATTATGGAATGGGAGCCAGGGGTCACTTAAAACAATAGAAATGTATTTTATCAGCCTGGAAGCCAGAGTCCAAAACTGCGGGGTCTGCAGGACCATGCCCTGCTGAAGGCTGTGTCTGCTTTCTGCCAGTCTGGCAGCCCTAGTGAGCCTGTGTGTCCCATGATCGCATCTCTCGACTTCTCTAAAACCGTCTTCATATGTAGTTTAATTTAAAACTCTGAGAATTGATACTCGTTGCTTCTAATCAAGTAGCATTTCAGAAATTTTATACTAATTCAGTGGCTTCAAAATGTTGAACACTTGTAAAATAATTTGTAAAATAATTTGTCTCCATTCACAAATAAGCATTGTGTTTTTTTGGGTTTTTTTTGTTTTGTTTTGTTTTGTTTTTTGGTCTTTTTCGTTTTTATCGGTACCAGGGATTGAACTCACAACTGCCTGCTTGCAAGGCAGGCGCTTATGCCGCTGAGCTAAATCCCCAGCCCCCACAAATAAGCATTGATGTGGCAAGACAATTGACAGCTTTGAAATAAATTACTTTTGTTTGTTTTTTAAAATTCATTCTTTCTTTCTCATTTGACCTGCACATGACTGCCAGGGCCAGGCTCAGTGGCACATGCTTATAATTCCAGCTACTTGGGAGGCAGAGCCATAAGACAGCAAGTTTAAGCTTACGCTAGGCAACTTAGCAAGACCATGTCTCAAAATAAAAAGGGGCCAGATGTACCTCAGTGGTAGAGTTCTCCTGGGTTCAACCCCTACTGCTATAAGAAAAGAAAAACAAATTTGCTTCCCAAAAATGATTTTACTCAGATGTAAGGAAAGGTCAACTTTGAGGTTTTTGTAGATGATACTTATCAGACTGTTCTTGAGGTTTTTAAGAAGACTCACTCTGTGTGTGTGTGGGTGTGTGTGTGTGTGTGAGAGAGAGAGAGAGAGAGACTTGTTTTATATGTATACATATGGAACTGCCTGTTTAGCTCATTTAATATCATATTTTAAACTTATAATAGCAATAATACTTATAAAGAAATGTTTTTCCAAAAACAATTGTCTTAGTTACTTTTCTCTCGTTGAGACAAAATACCTGATGGCCAAAGTGAAGCAAGGAAAGTTTTATTTCTTACAGTTCTTGGAGATTTCAGTCCATACTTAGCTGGCTACAAGGCAGGATGGCATGGAGGAGTAGCCACCGCAAACAGCAAGAGCAAACAGAGCTAAAGAGAGAGGACACTCATCTTCCTGCACTTACACTGTATGCCAGCTCCACCCCTGAGCAGATGCAGCACTCATACCACCGATCCAGCGCCAGACAACAAACCTATCACAAACACCAGGTTCAGCTGTGTCCATGATTGCATGAGGCTTGGGAGGTCTATCTGAACACAAACCATAACACAGTGAATGGTACAGGAAAAAGGGAGAAATAGCTTCAGTATCAAATCCTCCATCTAAGAATATGGTATATACTGCTTCTTTAATTTTTCCTCTTCTTTGGTGTCCTTTATAATTTGTTTGCATTTCTGACCAAGCAAGTAGCACTGTACTTTATAGTTTTAGGACCACAAGAAGCAGCATCTTTAATGAGAGATGAATTTTTTGGAGGGAATTTTTGTTGCTGTTTTTTGTGTCAGGATTTCACTGTATAGTCCGGCTGCCTTTGAGCTCACTATGTAGCCTAGGCTGGCCTCAAGCTTGTGGCCATCCTCTTGCCAGAGTAAGCCTTGCACAACCACACCTAGCAAATGAGGGAACCCATGTTTTAAAAGAGTTAAGGGTGCTAAACAGGAAAATCAAGTTAGATTTGTCCCAAGTCCCTCGTTAAACAATAATTTTTGGGTTGATGGCTGTGAGTTTTCTAGGTGATCGTGATGCCTTCTCCCATGATAGCTTGACTCATCATTTCCTGACTCTGACCTTCCAGCCTTAATGAGAGCCTTCAGGTCGTTGTTGAGTGAGAGCATGGGCCAAAGCCTTGTTCAGGTCCACACCCAGCACCAGGAGCCATCTATGTTTTCCATGGAGTTTGATGTTCACCATTCCGACTTTTTTTTTTAACCAAAGTAAAGAAACTTACTTTGATGTCTAGTTTGCTTAAAAAGAAAAAAAGCCAGATGTGGTCGCGCACACTTGTAATCCCAGCACTCTGGAGGATGAGGCAGGAAGATTGTGCAAGTTCAAGACCAGCCTGGGCTACAAAGTGAGCTCAAGGCCAGCCTGGACTGCATAGTGCCACTCTGTCTCAAAAAAAGGCAAAAAATAGATAGATAAATAAATTAAAGGAATAAGTATCAAAAGCTGGTTGTATGATTTTTCTTTTATTTCTGTTTCAAAACATTGGCATTCCTGAAATTAAACCTTGTTGAGCTCATGATATGCTATTTTGGGAGGGGGTACCAGAAATCAAACTCATGACCTGGTGCTTGCTAGACAGGTGCTGTGGCACTGATCTATATCCCCAGCCTAATGTGCAATTCTTTAATCCAGTATTAATTAGCTGATATTTCATTTAGGACTTTTATGTTTGTATTCTGAGGTGTGATTGAGCTGAATTTTAGTCTTTGTTTTACCTGTATTACATGAAGATTATAGAAGCTTTAAAGAATGAATTAAGAGATGGTTTTTTTCAGCTTTCTTTTTTCTTTTTTGATTGTTTATTGGCATGTTTTAAGTGTACATAATGATCACATTTATCATAGGAAATTTGCACCTGTATATGACATATCTTGATTCTTTTTTCCCCCATTCTCCTACCCTCTGAAATAGTTTAAATATTCCCTTGAGTTCTCTGAAATAGTTTAAATATTCTGTTCCAAAAAGGATAAGATAGAACCTACCAATTCCATTGAATCATCAGCATCTGATTATGCTTGCAAGGAAGATCGACTGCCTTCTAATCTGTGTTACGTTTATTAGTCTTTAACATTTTCTTCTACTTCTTGAAGCACATTAAGCGTACCTACTGATTTTGGTGTAAGAAAGTTGTGTACATCCTGTAAATAGTGATGAGCTCTTAAGTTCAGGGCTGAGGAAGTGCACAGGACTCTATGGTGGGCCAGACATCCCCTTGGTGCTTCTGGCATGTCACTTTGCACTTACCCTGGACAGAGGGTTTTCCAGCATGTCCAGAGACAGAGAATTTTTTCCACTTGCCACAGAAAATGCCCTGCTTTCTTAAGCAGAGCCACTCCAAGGAGCTGTTTCTGTGTAAAGAAAGGCTTGGGGTTTTGAGTGAAAAATACTGAAATGGAATACCTGGACGTTCATTTGTAGTATTGTGTCTACTTTGTTTATAGATAATGTTTCTCCTATATATATTATTTTTATCATTAAAAAGTTTTTACCTGGAAAATATTCTGGGTAGTTGCTGTTGGTATTAAAGAGGATTTCTTGGTTTGTTTTTTTACATCCCATATCTAGATGACAATGAAAAGCAAGCAGCGAATATTAACAGAAGACTGGGAGATTTTTAAGCAGAGGCGATTCATTGAGGAACAGGTAAGTTTGTCCACAGGAAAGGCAGTTATAAGAGATTGAATTCCCTGTGCCTAAAGTAGTAGTGCTTTTGCATGCTGGCCCAGGACACCGTGGGGGGATCACCATGGCACCTCTGTGGTGTTATAGCACTGTGAAAGAAAGTGGCTTTCACCGCAAGGGGAACGCCTTACCTGTTTCCTATCTTTCACATACCCATCAAGGAGAGTGCATGTTCATTCCTAGGAATTCTGTAAACAGTCTTGTCCTGAATTCCCATGCGCCTCTGTGAGGCAAGTGCTGCTGTTTCTGGCTTGCATGCAGAGAGGGGGTGTGGTGTGAAGTTAAAAACATTCCTAAAGTCAGAGACCAGGACTTCAACCCAGCTTCTCCAACAGCACAGATGTGGGCCTCAGCTAGCTGCTGACAGAGCAGGTCTGCCTTTTCCCTCTCCCAGCAGTGCCTTCTGCAGGCAGTCTTGCCCTGCACCCCTGCTAACGCAGCTTTGGCAGTGCATGCTAGTGACTGCTGTGGTTGGCCTTGGAGCCCTTAGCTTTATTTTGAAACTTATCTCCCTGATCTCTCCTCCACATGCTATATTGGCTCTTCTGCCTCCTGGACCATTTTCCTTATTCTCCTTTGTGACCCTTTTCTTTGACCTGCCTGTAAATGTCAGTGGCTTTCTTCTTTCCTTGCTAGTCCTGCATGTGTCCTGCCTTGTCAGGTGGCCCTTCCAGCTGCCACCTCTAAGGTCCAGCCTTCTCCCCACGTTGGTCTCCATTCCTGCAGCTCTAAGACATAGGATAAAAGCTGGCCATCTGCTGTGGCCTTGCCTTCTGGATATCTGCTGTCAGAACACAGGACAGCATTTTTGCTGGAATTGAAAGTATTTGGGAGGTTCCTGGTTTGGCCCTTGTGTGACTTGGGCCTTGCTGTGGGCTCTAGGTTTGCTGCTTCTGTTTCCTGGTCTTGTCTATCTTATAAAGCTGTGTGCTCCTTGGCTTCCAAATGGACACAATAGACATAACCGCAATTGCTGAAAAATGTGTTCTGTGAAAGAGGGGAAGCATCTTGTACAATCGAGCCGTTGTTTGGTGATTTTCTCTAGTTAACTAACAAGAAAGCGGTTACTGGTGAGAACAACTTCACAGACACCATGAGGCACATGTTGTCGTCCCGCCTGAGTATGCCTGACTGCCCCAACTGCAACTACAGGAGAAGGTGAGTTGGACTGGCGGGAGCAGCGCCTGCACCCTTTGACCAGGGGGAGGTCTGGCTCTCTTGGTAACTGTCCTTAATTCCCGATCAGATGTGCTTGCGATGACTGCAGCCTCTCACACATCCTCACTTGTGGTGTCATGGACCCCCCCATCACTGACGACATCCACATTCACCAGCTACCACTCCAAGTGGATTCTGCTCCTGACTATCTCTCTGAGATGCGCCCTCCTAGTGTAACATCAGCAAGCTCAGGGTCAGGTTCCAGCTCTCCCATCACAATTCAGCAGCATCCCAGACTCATCCTCACAGACAATGGCTCTGCACCAACTTTGTAAGTCGTGACTTTATAATACAGCTTGAGAAATCTAAGTATCTGATAATGAGAAATACAGACAGTAATGTCTATAAAAACTATGAGCATTATTATATTGCTTTTCCTGAAAAAAGACTTTCCCATTGTTTTAAGCAATTTTGAAAACATGCAATCAGTCATCTCAAACTTGGACACCATTTTATTACCTGAAAAAAAGACAATAAATTAACAAATACAAGTGCAGAACAAAACATGTTGGTATGCAGGGAAGTGTCTCCCCGGTCCTGGTCCCATCTCCCCTCTCTCCTGGAGGGTGGCCAGGCTGCGGTCATTGCCTCATTGTCAGCTCAGCGTTCATGCTTGTTCCATGGCTTGCTAAGAACTCAGATGATCACTTCAGCAAGCAAGAGTTTCTGTCTTCTGTTCCCACATTATTAGAAGTGCATCTCATATGAGCAAGGTGGCTGTGCTGATCTCATCACTTCACATTGTAGGTGGCTGGTCCCCATTTCTTCCGAGTCGTGATCTTGTCCGTTGTGGAGGCTTCATATGCTGACTCGTGGGAGGTGGGAGTCAGCTCCCTGTGCCCTGTAGTGAACCTTGCACAGGAGCCTGGCAAAGGCCTCGCTGCCCTTGCTGCCCAGTGTTTATTCCTCAACCTCCTCCACTAATGCCCTTGTGCTCATCCTCTCTGTCACAGTTTCTCATGCTGACTTCTATGTTTTCCTTCAACCTTTTAGTTCTTACTTTGGACCTGTTCTCCAACCCAAAAGAATTCTTTCTTTTTTTTTTTCCTTTTTCTGTGGTGCTGGGGATTGAAGTCAGGGCCTCACGCATGCTAGATAAGAACAGTTCTTTCACTTGAATTGTAATCCTAGCCTCAAATCCAAAATGATTCTAGAGAGCTGGTCTACACTCCATGACTCTTCATTGGAAGGTTTCTAGCTCTTTTGTAGTCTGAAGAACCCTTACTGTCTGAGTGATAAGAAAGAATACCAAGGGTATGCAGCTATTGCCTGGCTTCTTACAGGAGCAATATGGAAATTAAACCTGTAGAAATAATAAACTCCTCATCATTACACAGCTGTTGCTGTTGAGTATGGGCTCTGGACTCAGTCAGTGCAGGAACACTGGCCTGGGGCGCCTTTCTCAGGGCCTGTGACCCTTGGGGCTTCCAGCAACTTGTGATTACTGTCTTCCCAATAGAAGCCACTCTGACCTTCAGATGTCCCTTGACTCATGTTGTCTTTCTTGGTGTCATATCTGAATTGGTGAAACCAGATGATGGGGTATCAGTCACCATATATATAGCCTTGTTGTCCTGAACTCACAGGTATCGGGGCTGGAGAACCCTCCCTGTCACTTGGCACCATTGACTAAGTCAGTGACTTCATTTTAGAATCTGGTGAACCATGGTGACACAGGCGCTGCAGGAGGGGTGTGCACGGTGCTGGAGCAGCCTGAGCTCATGCACTGCTGGGGACCGTTGATACCTCCATTTGTGAGCTCCAGCTCATCACACAGCATAGCTGGTTGACTACTGTCTTAAAAGAGGAAAGTGCATCCATCGTTAGTGATCCTGAGCACTCCTTCCTAAGAGGCAAGATTGCTACTCCTTTGGGGCTATGCTTTCTTGAGGGCTGCTATATGCTGTGACTGAGGAAAAACTCAGGCATGTTTTGCAGAACCCCAGGTGGTCTGCATAGGGTCATGCTTGGAACTGGAAATTTTGTGACAGCTCTTCCCATGCACCATGAAGTCGTGTTTCAGGCTGCTCTGTAAACTAAAGCCATGAAATTCATTGACATTTTTTCTCATACTTGCCCACTGCTTAGATATCTTAGTAAAGCTGATAATTAAGATCATCACTGACCTTGTACAGTTGTTATAGAAGATTTGTTCAACTAGGGGCTGGGGATTTAGCTCAGCGGCATAAGCGCCTACCTTGCAAGCAGGCAGCAATGAGTTCGATCCCCGGTACCGATAAAAAGGAAAAAGACCAAAAAAAAAAAAAAAAGAAAGAAAGATTTGTTCAACTAGATATTTCTGAGAGCTTGGTGTTGCTAAAAGCAAACACTGAAGACCTGAGATTGCTGTCAGTACCCTTTCACTTTTACTAAAAAACATGATGTCTTCTTGGGAGTGACAGAAAGAATAGTTTTACACCAGAGCATTTCAACACAGATGAAAATATGGTACCAGTTAGCTCGATTAAATATCTGATTTCCTTACTAACTTCTGTTTCTGAAGGTTTTCACATTCTTCAGAGGGCTGAGCATTACTATATAGGAGCCCTTTGTGGAGGTTCCCATTTGGTGGTGGTGTGACAGATGCCAGCATGCTCCTGGAACAGAAGTGACACTATGTAGAGGAGGTGTCTGGCTGGGTGCATGGTTCGGTTCTTGCTGTCCTCCCCACCTCAGAATCATGTGGTAACCATCTCTGCTTGTCTCAGTTGTAGTGATGATGAAGACGTTGCACCATTGTCGGCCAAGTTTGCTGATATTTATCCATTGAGTAACTACGATGACACTGAGGTGGTGGCCAACATGAATGGAATCCACAGCGAACTGAATGGTGGTGGGGAAAACCTGGCCTTGAAAGATGAGGTAATGGGCATAGCTTCTTGATAGCAGCACAGAAGACGTGGTTTAAGTTTCCTATTGTTCTGCTTTGAAGAGTGTAAATCACATAAGCCTGTCTTTAAAGTCCCCTCAGGTTAGCAGTACCAGTAGTAGTTCTTCTGAAGCTGATGATGAAGAAGCGGATGGTGAGAGTGGGGGAGAGCCCCCAGGAGCGCCAAAAGAAGACGGGGCCCTAGGAAATGGGAGCCCCGTGACAGAGGAGATTAAAGTAGACACTCCACCCCCGTCTTACCCTGCTCAGCAGGTAAGGCTTCAGATTCCAAATTTTCTGTTCTGACAAATGAAAGTCAAATAATTTAAAATTAATTCTTTAATGTATTCTAATAGGTAATATAAATATATGGTTTGTATTAAGTATATGGTAGAGTAAATGTATTGTATAATGTAAATACATGGATCAGATAACATAGGAGCCATTAAAAGACAAACAGAAATCCTGCCTACATACCCTTCCCCATCATCCTGTCCAGTACATGCAAACCTCTAGTCCTTAGCCGCAGTGGATGGCTGATTTCATTCATTCATTATGGGCAGACGCAGATTCTTTTATAACTGAGGCTGTGTACTGTCCCTGTGCGGGTGGCTCTGTCTGTGCCTCGCTTTCCCTCAGCAGTGCACACTGAGAGATCTGCAAAGCACAGTCTTGTCCTTTCTGCCGGCTGCCTTGTCTTCCATCTAGATGTGCTGTAGTTTGCTCTGTTTTTCTTTTCAGTCCTCTGTTGTTGGCACTTCTGTTGTCCCCATCCCCATTCTTTACCACATAAATTCTCGTGTGACCCTGTGCCTCTGACAGTGAGTACATAGTAAGTACACCCCAGGACTGATCCAGTAGTGCACACTATGTCAAAACTGTGCATAGGGCAAGGGCCATGGTGGTCTCCCCTGGGTCCCAAAAGAGAAAAGCACAGTTTTACAATCTAATGCATGAGAAGTAGTCATCTCTTGTGGGGTTTTTGTATTTCACTTTTATAGGTAAATGTCCTTTCCTACAGTTAAGGACTGTTTCCCTTTCCATCTTGTTACTGAATTATAAGAGTTCATTATATATTGCAGAAAGGTCCTTTATTAAATGTATGATTTACATTGTTTTCTAATGGTCTGTGGTATGTCTATTTTTTTACTGTGTTTCTTATAAAGTAGAAGTTTTGGTTCCAACTTACTTTTTTCTTTTGTGAATTATGCTTTTCATATACAGTGATACCTCGGCTATCCAACTCAGTATGTTCCAAATTCATTTTCAAATGCTGAAAAGTTCAAAAACTAAACATTTTTTCCATAAGAAATAATTGATTTTGAGGCCCAAAAATTATACTTACAAATTCATTTTTCCAGAAGTTTGACAAAGTTTGCAATGATTTAACTCTGTTGTGGGTTTCACATTTTTCCTCTTAGTTTACTGCTGGTATCACTAACTTTTTTTGGAGCTATGATTACAATATTTGATGCAAATAAAGTACAAAAATTACAAAGCACAGTGACAGATGTTTTAATATACTGACACAAGCACTGTATACTGTCTGGGTGAGAGTTGCACGTAGACCTAACTTGGACTTAAATGTTGTCTCTAGGGTCTGCAGTGAGATGTGACAGGCAAGTCATGCTTGGGCCTGTACGGGTTTTTGCACCACAGATGCTATTAAGCAAAATCACAAACACAGAGCATATCTTTTTCTAACTTTACAAGTAGTGGAAAGAATCAGGGATGTAGCTTAGTGGCACAGTGCCTGCCTGGCAAGCACAGGGTCCTTAGTTCAATTCCCAGTACCAAAAAAAAAAGTAGAACCAGTGGGAAGTTTAAGCGTGGAGCTGTTTGGCAACCAAAGTATCACTGTATTATACAAAAATTTTGTATATCACAAAGCTGTTTTCTTCTAAAAGATTTATAACTTTGATCTCTTACTCAGGTGCTGTGGTCTGTCTGAATCATTGTTTGCTCTGGCATCGGGTTAGAGTCTTAACTTTTTACTTTTACATATGTGGATATGCAGTTGCTCAGTATTGTTTGTCAGAAACTGTCCTATGCCCCACTGAATTGTGTTGCCCACTGATTGAAAATGTACAGATTGTAAATGAGGGGGTTAAGCCTAGATCTCACTGTTCCTTTGACCTCCATGTCTGTCCTTACCCCTGTAGTCCTGTAGTGCACTTGCCTATTGGTCTGTGATAAGTTTGGAAGTAGTCAGTGCGCCCTCCAACTTGATGGGCCTGTTTCCACATAGACAGCGGTCTTCTCAATGCAGCCTTCCATGCCAGGAAGGGCACAGCATCAGGGGATTCTTCTAAAGGCTTTCATCACTGTTGGGGGTGGATCCTCCCAGGGGCCCCACCTCCTGATATATCTGCTTGAAAATTATGCAGTTTGAAAGTTGTGAAGTGTACATTGGATCATTTACTCCCCTTTTCAGTTCTGCCAGTTTTTGATTCATGCATTGGGGGTGATGTTGAATGTGTATATGTGTATGACTATTGTATTTCCCTGATACGCTGACCCTTTTATCATTAGGAAATGTTTCTCTGCTGATATTTTACCTGACATTAATAAAACCACTCCAGCCTCTTAGTATTTTTTCATCCTTTTACCTTCAGCTTTCAACTCCTGTAGTTGAGTTTAAATTTTATCCTGCCAGTCTCTGTCTTTTTTTATGTTGAACAAGTTTTAGTGTGCTGTTTTAGGTCTGCTGTTGACTCTTTTTTGTTTATTTCGTTATATTTTTTGAGACAGGGTCTCACAATGCAATCCAGGCTGGCCTGGAACTTAACTATGTAACATTGGCTGGCCTCAAATTTGAAGTGAGCCTCCTGCCTCAGCCTCCCAAGTGCTGGGATTACAGTAACAACTGCCCATTACTATTGACTCTTTACTTTTTTTAGTTTCTTTCTTCTTTTTTTGTCTTTTTGAGACAAAGTCTCGCTATGCAGTTTAGGCTGGCTTTAAGCTCACTTTGTAGCCCAGGCTGGTGTGGAATTTGCGACAATCCTCCTGCCTCAGCCTCACGAGTAATGGGATTACAGGTGTGTGCCACCCTATTAATTAGTTTCTTAATGGGTGCTCTGAGGATTACAATTTGCATTTTAGTTTGTCATAGTCTCCTCCAGGTTACCATTTAACTTCCTTCTAGCATCAGACAGGCATGACTGTAATGCAGTTCGATTTCCCTGTTCCTCCTTTGAACCATTATTGTTCTCATTATTACTTACATTTTTGTGTTATAAATACAGCACTGTTTTGTAACTAGTTTTGTAGCTTTTTACAAAACTAGGTTTTTTTTTGTTTTTTTTGTTTTTTTTGTTACTGTTTTCATTTTGGTTTGGTTTGCTTTGTTTTGTTTTGTTGCTGGTCTAGAGTTCACTTTGTAGCCCAGGCTGGTCTGGAACCTGAAACCATCTTCCTGCCTCAGCCTCCTGAGTGCTGGGATTACGGGTATATGCCAACATGCCCACGTTTGCTTTGTTTTTGTTTTTGTTTTTGTTTTTTTTGAGGCAGGTCTTGCTTATGCAGTTCAGATTGGCCCTCACTATGGCCCCAAACTGGTGGCCCCAAAAGCGCAGCCTCACCCTCCCTAGGGCTGGGATTACAGTAGTGTACCACCACGCCCAGCTCCACAGTTTATTTTTTAGAGAAATTGCGAGCAAAAGAGAGAAAAATATACTCATGTGTAGTTTCTCTTTTTTCCTTTTGCTTAAGTTCATGGCATTTTTTTCTCGTTTTCCCTGTGGATCAAGTTACTGTGGGTTGCTATCTTCTGTCCATTTTGTGTTTGTACAGTTTGTTAGTAATGAGTTCTCCTAATCTTTATTTGTAAATGACTGTTTTGCTTTCATTTCTTTAAACAGTTCATTTTTTAGAGTATTTAGAGTCCTAGCATAGTTGGGTGGAAGGTGTGGAGTTGCTCCATGCCCTGTAACCCACTCCTTATAGCCTCCTGCTCAGAACCCTCAGCATAGGGTGCAGGGCTCAGGGCAGCAGGAAGCACTGGAGCAAACTGTCTCACGGCAGGCTGGGCTTCCTTACTGGGCTGGGGTGGGATCCTCTGTAGCAACCGGCAGCAGCCATAGATGTTCCCGGGAGAAGGATGGGTGAGGGGATGAGAAAATAAAGAAAAGAGAGGCAAGCTGAGGTCAGTGGAGATTTCTGTCCTGATGGGAGAGAACTGGACAGCTCAACCACCATAGCACCTTTATTTACACACTCAGCCCCCTTGCCTTTTTGGAGCTGCAACAACTTGCTTACATTGCTTGCTTTAGGCTCTCTGTGTTTTTAGGGCTGGCCTCGCTTTAGTCCCACACTTGTGATCAGCCTGCAGCTTCAACCACTCTCTACAGTCCTCAGCATCTCCCATCCTTCTCTGTGCAAGGGTTAAGTGCCTGCATCTGTAGATTTATGCTCATCAGATTTGGACAGTGAAATTTTCAGCTGTTATTTTTTTAAATATTCTTCTTTTCCTTCTCTCTCCTTTTCTCTAGGACTTTATTACAGGTCATTGATATACTCCATTGTCTACTACAATGTAATTTTCTTTAATTTCTTTTCCACTTTAATTTGATTTTGTTTTGGTTTTGGTTTTTTGAGACAGGGTCTTGCTCCATAGTCAAGCTGGTCTTGAACTCATTATGTAGCCCAGGCTGGCCTCAAAGACTCAAGTGCTGGCCTTACAGGCATGCACCAACACGCCTTCCACTTTATTCTTCATATGAAGAATTTCTGTTCCTCTAATTGGAGCTCACAGGTTCTTTTCCTGCCATCTTAAATGTGCTTTTGAAATTTTTCTTTCTTTTTTTCATACCAGAGATTGAACTTACAACCTCAGGCTTACCCGGCAAGCACTTGAACCACTGAGCTAAATCTTTGACTTTATTTCATAATTGTTGTTACTTTTATTAGTGCATGTTTGCAGTGCAGAGTGGATCACATTCATTGGGGGGAGTTGGTACATGTATATAACACATCTTAATTCTGTTTTGTGTCCCTCTTCTCCCCCTTCATCTCTCAGTTTCCTTTTATGTAGTTTCTCTTTCTTTAATTCCAGGTAGATTAACTTCTCATTTTTATATTTTGTTTAACCTCTGAACATGTATTAACAGCTGCTTCGACATTTTAGGATGTTAATCTGATATCTAGACTTACTCAGAGCTAGTTTCTAGAGATCAATGCTCTTTCCCTGCAAAAAACATGAGTCCCACTTTTCTCTTTACATGTCTCATAATTTTTTTTGTTGAAAACTGGGCATTTTAAAAGCAAATATGGATTCTGCCTTTTGCCTCATAGTCTTTGAGATGCTTCTTTGTGTTTTATTACTCCCCTGGCTTAAGTTGCAGAATCTGTGTCCCCCACAATGGGTGGCTGCTGATGGCTCAGCTCCCACTTTTTCTCCATTTTATTGTTTAGTATGTCTCCTAGAGATCTCCCCTTTGGCTGCTTGACTTAGCAGGTCAGCTGGTAATTTGGGTAGAGGTTGGCCATGCATCCCAAGCCCTGAGCCACCCCACCTGGCGCCACCATCTGTGATAAAGCCAGAAGCACCTTCTATAGTCCCCCTGCACTTAGTCAGCTTTTGGGCATCCCCATCTGTTGTGTGCACCTGGTCTCCTGGTTGGTCTGTGGGCAGCTGAGGGGTCCTCCTCTGGCTCTCATTTCCAGGTCTCCTTATAAGGCTTCTATTTCATCTGCTGCTCATCCCAAGCAGGACCCCAGCTTCAAGGTAGCATCCAGACCTGAGGTTTCCCTGCCATTGCCCTCTTGGTCCACCACTCCTTGGGATCACCTCTGCAGCATGCACACTGCTGTCTTTGGTACTGCAACACCACTGCTCATAACTGGGGTGGGAGAGAGAGGACCTGGGGCAGGTAGGCCAGACTCCCACTATTCTCTGAGCTCCTACCTCACTTTCAGTGTTGTGTCTTGGCTGATTTCTCAGCCTTCCAGGTATTTGCCTTCACCGGTTGTGTCAGTTTTACATTTGTTCATCAAGCTGCCGGCCTCTCCACTTCGTTCTCAGTGGCTGTGTGGAGATCTTTGCCGTTTGGATTGAGCAGTGCAAGCCCAACAAGGGAGAGTAGAACAGAGCCACTCATTTTTGTTCCTTGGTCTTAGCCTCTTCTCACCATTCTGTTGTCTTTTCTTGGCTCCTTGTCCTCTCACTTAGCCCAGGGACCCAGATCATTGGCTGGTACCTCAGCTGAGTCTCTGCAGTCCCTCCAAACCCTCCAGGGAGGGCCCAGGGATGAGACCCATTTGCATCTTTTTTCCCCGCCTCTTAACTACTTGTCAGAGTGCAGCAGACTGACTAAACTCACAGCGTGTTTCTTTCACATTAAATGAGTGCCTTTTCTTTTCTTTTCTTTCCTTTCCTTTTAGGCTGAACAAGCTCCAAATATTTGTGAATGTCATGTTTGTAAACAAGAAGCCTCGGGGCTGACGGCATCGGCAATGACGGCTGGAGCCCTTCCTCCTGGTCACCAGTTCCTGAGCCCTGAGAAGCCCACACACCCTGCACTGCACCTGTATCCCCACATCCATGGCCATGTGCCCCTGCACACCGTCCCACACCTGCCTCGCCCTCTCATCCACCCCACCTTATACACTGCGCCCCCCTTCACGCACAGTAAGGTAAGCTGGGCAAGAAGGCCTGAGAGCCCACCTATCACTGAGTTCCCGTAGTTGTGTGTGTTTAACCAGACAGATGTACCCGTTGGCAACTTGGACAGGCCAGCGTGTGCTCTTAATGGAAAGGCCTGCAAATGTTTGCTTTTACTTCATTCTCTCAAGTACTTGTCATTTTGAACCTTCACAGTTGTAAAAACCAGTCATGAAGTTCATAGTTTATTCATTCACAATTAACTAGAACATAGTGAATTTTTAGGTAATGTTACTAACATGCTGAATTTGGGGACCTTTCATATAAGTCTGTTCATATGCTCATGGCTTTCTGGGGCATGCCTCATATGGGGAAGATCACTGCCGTTGTCTAGCCTCTGCCAGGTCAGAACAGTTATGTATCTTTAGTGTGCAAATGAAGGCCTTATAGTGCTACACAAGCTTGAAGTGCAGTGCCCTAGGAGCCATCCTCCCAGAGCAAGAGAGCAGGAGCAGCTGTGCTCAGAGCTCCTTGTTGATCTGTAAGCATTTCTTCTTAGAAAGCCCTGGGCACATACTTGTTATCTCACACTTGGTGATGTCACTCTTTGTATTTTAAATAGCTTTCTGTTTTGAATGTACCTTTGTTAACTCAGCATAATTCTGACTGCATTGTATCTTCTTTGTATACTAGTTATTCCTGGTTCAAGGCTAGTCCTAATCAATCAAAAGCAGTTTTTCCCACCACTCTAATTAGTGTTACTGTGAGTAGTAGTCCTCAGCTGGAGGAGGTGAAAGATAACTCTGAGTTGGGCTACTGAGGCTGCAGGCTTTCTTCCCTGTGGTTCTTGCATGGCAGGGGGGTGCTCCTTGTGTATGTGCTAAAAAGTAGCAAAGGTAGGGAGTTTAGGACCACAGATTTAGAAAAGACTAGAACAAGACACCATGTTCTATTACAGCATTACACACCTGTCAATACCTGAATGTGTGTTTAGATGTTGTCAGGTTGAATATTGCTCACTTTGAAACGTCACTGATGTCTGTATTCATAAAGTCTGTTTCAAATCACATCTTCAGGGCTGGGGATTTAGCTCAGCGGCATAAGCACCTGCCTTGCAAGCAGGCGGTCGTGAGTTCGATCCTTGGTACCGATAAAAATGAAAAAGACAAAAAAAAAATGAAAAAAAAAAAACAAATCACATCTTCAAGTAGGCAGTCACAGGCTATTTTCATGGTCTTTATGGCCTGTTTTCCTTAGAGACTGTGTAAGCTTGGGAAGCTGTCCACTCCCACTTCTTACCTTACCTGAACAAAGGTCTGGCCTACATTACAGAATGTTGTTTTATATACTTCGGCAGATTGAAGCTATTGAAGAATCAGTTCCTGAAAATATTCAAGTAAAGTAATGAAGTTGATTATTCTCAAAGTTTATTGACACACTAGGTTAAAAGATGATTCTTTCCCTTGTCTTTGTCTTTTTCTTGGGATGTTATAGGAGGTTTATATAAGAAAAGGCAAAGAAAAACATTTTTTAGAACCACCCTAATACCTTTTTCTTTGATATTAACTTTAATGCCATAGGATACCATAGGTCAGTGTGGAAGATTCACACGTAGAAAAGCAAATATAAGCCAGTCATGGTGACACACACATATAATCCCAGCACTCTGGGAGGCTGAGACAAGAGGATCGTGAGTTTAAGCCCAGCCTGGACAATTTAGCTACTCAGCTAGACCCAGTCTTAAAGTTTAAAAAAAAATTAAAAAGGCTAGAGTGGTAGCTCAGTGCAAAAACCTTGGATTTGATCCCAAGTACCTGAAAAAGGAAAGCAAATACAGCAGTTAAGCCATATGTGGAGAGGTCATGTAGAAACTTAGGAATATAATGTGTGCTTATTTCAACCACTTTGCTGTTAATGATTGTGCATAGATCATTTAAAATATATCTGTTGGATGCCTTTTTTATTTGGAAAAATAAGATGTCACAAAAAGATCACTTGTGCCTGATATGAAAAGCTTCTTGCCAGATCTTGCAAAGTAGTTTTTGAATTGATATAACCTGCTTGAATGCTGTGGCTGTGTCCGTACCTAAATATACAGTGTGTGACAGCCCCTGGGAGCTTGACAAACAGCTTCATTTATGGGACAGATTTCTTATAAGTGCCAGGAGGCCACTGTGTGCCATTCCCAATGTTGTATTTAGGGGAGAGGGTAGGTGCTAAGTACAGGGCAGGTGTGTCCACTGAGGCTCTTTTTCCTCCCTCTGTATCTGTGTCTCTTTCCACAGCATTAGGGCTTTTGGGAGTTTCTGTACTGGGAAAACTACGATTGTTGCCTTTAAGACTTCATGTCTTAGTGGTTTTAATTTTTCTTGTAATTTATACTTTGGCCACTGTGTATAAATATTTAATACAAAAAAAATTTCGGATGAGTACTATGAAAAGTTGTCTTACATTGGGCATGATTGTACACAACTGGAGCTGCAGCCACTTGAGACACTGAGGCAAGAGGATTGCAAGTTAGAGGCCAACCCAAGCAATTTAGCAACCCAACAAGCCCTTGCCTCAAAACCAAAAAGGACTAGGGTTGTAGGTCAGTGCAAAAGCCCTCGGTTCAATTCCCAGTATTGGAGAAGAGAGAGAGGGAGGGAGGAAAAATTCATTTTCTCGAAATTAAAACAATTTAGCCGAGTGTGGTGGCACCTGCCTGTAATCCTAGCACTGGGGAGGCTGAGGCAGGAAGATCATTGTGAGTTGAAGACTAGCTTGGGCTACAAAGTGAGCTTAAGGCCACCCTGGACTGTATAGTGAGACCCTGTCCCAAAAAGACCAAAAAAAAAAAAAAAAAACCAACTTAAACACTAATTCTGTTTATAGATGTTTTTATACCAGCAATACATTTCATTTTTATGTTGAGATGTAAGTTATTTAAAAGTTTAAAGTAGTTGCAGAAAAAAAAAGGTAATGAACGAGTAGAACGCTTTGGTGCTATTTTATGAAAGCAAAGTCTCCAAGGAGTTCGTGAGCTCCTACTCCTACACTTGCAGTAGGTGGAATCTGGTCAGTCCCTGAGCTGCTGTCAAGTATCTGTTCTGTTAGCACAGTGCAGAGCACTTGCTTCTTTTTAATGGCCTTAGTTTGTTTAGCTGCTACACCTTGTTTTGGGCTTCAGCTTTACACTTGCTTCCTTTCTGGCCAAATTGCATGTTTTTCGGATCTTTTGAGAATACATTTTACTCCTGGTTCTCATTGTAAATCTGACTAAAAGCAGCCACTAACAGCATGCCACAGCTAACGTGTTACGCTGTCTTGAAATTTCCTCTTACTAGTTCCATCACTACCTCTAAACTCAGCCTCCTTTGAAGTCTTAGGGCATTGGTGAAATTAAACAAATTCTTCACCAGAGCTGGCTTCCAGTCCAATTTCTCAGTGGAGTCCAGTTTACATCTGAAACCCGTGAACGTAGTCTTTACTGTCTGTCAGCATGCGGGTCTTCCGAGTTCCCCACACAGTTGGTCAGTGTTCATGCTAATCTGCAGTGCTCTTGTAATTTCTTTTTCCAGTTTGTATTTTTGGCAAAGTTTGGTAAGGACTGTTTTTTATAAATATTTGACAGGATTCACTCAAGAAGCCACCAGGTCTAGGGAGGTTGGGATGTCTGAGTTAATGTCTTTGCTAACTATACATGAGGCACTGTTCAGATTTTTTTGTTTGGTCATGGATTGGTCTTGCTTGGCATTGTTTTCTTAGGGGTCCTTCTTGGCATTATCCAGTGTATTGGCATTCATTTGTTCTTGGTGTTCATGGCTTTTATAATCCTTTTTCTTTCTACAGCATTAGTAGTGTTTTAGTCTCTTTCTTTTCACTGGGACAAAATACCTGATAACTACAATTTATTTATTTTTTATTTTTATTTTTTTGTCTTTTTTGAGACGGGGTCTCACTATGCAGTTCAGGCTGGCCTTGAGCTCACTTTGTAGCCCAGGCTGGTCTCGAACTCACAACGACCCTCCCACCTCAGCCTCTCGATTGCTGGGATTTACAGGTGTGAGCCACCACGATACCTAAAGACAAGGTTTATCTTGGCTCGAAGTTTCAAAAGTTGCAGCCCACAGTTGACAGGCTCAGACACAGTAATGGCGTAACAGAGGGCTTTCCCCAGAGGAAAGAGGCTCTCATTGTGGAGGCCAAGAAGCAGGGAGAAGAGAGAGGGACATAAATACCCCTACCTCGCACCAGTTACACTCCACCTCCCAATAGCAATTCAGCTATGGGTTTGTCAGCCAATTAACATGTTCAGTACAAAAAAAGCCAAAAACCATGTTCTTACAGGGCTGTCATTTGTACATCTTGCTCCTGAGCAGACTGAACCACTGTGGTACATGATGACTGTCCCTGTCAGGCAGCTTTTTAGTCATTTTGTTAGACATTTGGGCGTGTAGCACCAGTGGCTCAAGTTGAGGGAGCACATGAACCCTCTGATGACTACAGCAGCCCATGATCCAGTTACTGTCAGAAGCCACGCCTTTGAGCACAGGAAGCTTTAAGGGGACATTCTAGGTCCACACTGTGAAATCATGTTCCTCTTCACTTCTAATTTTGGTAACCTGTGTCCTCTTTTTTTTTCTCAGTCCATCTCTTGGTCTATTTTTTAGTTTAATTGATATTTTCTGTTGTTTTTCTTTTTTGTTTAATTTATCCCACTTCTAATTCATTATTCCATTCCATCTTCTAGCTATGGTTTTGTGTTTTTGTTGTTTTTTGGGGGTGAGGTTTGATTTTGTTTGTTTGTTTTGAGACAGGGTCTCACTATGTAGTTTAGGCTGGCATTGAACTCATGTAGCCCACACTGGCCTCAAATTTACAGTGAACCTGCTGCTTCAGCCTTCTGACTACCAGCATGCATCGTCTTATTTTTGTTTTGGTTTGCAGTCCTGAACGAGAAACCCAGTGCCTTGAATCTCCAAGAGAACCCTTGACCACTAAGCTATACCTCCAACCCTTGTTTGTTCGTTTTCTCATTCTTGAACTTTCA